TGGCCACGGATTATGGGCAAGCAGAGAAGACAGACATCGGGATGGACTAGGGTAGCTGGAGAAGGCTTTCTGGAAGAGGGATGGCTGGCACTGGGCGCAGATAAGGGTACGGTTGTGGGAGGGCCCTGGGGTAGATTTTTATAAGGTTCGGTTTTACATAAATCACTTTACAACAAACATTGCTTTGGACATTGGGTGACATAGAAGAAACAAAACAAAGTCACTGGCCTTTCCCCACTCCTTAGAAGTAACTTACAGAATGTACGCTCCATTTAGGAGTCAAGTGTATATGGTCTATCAATAAGGGAACATAAGTTATTAATGGGGGAAGTGTTGGTGGAAACTAAAATGAAGAAATTATCTCAGTCAGGGAGGAGTGATCACATGAGGATTCATTTTTTTTCCAGCTGGAGAATCCTCAAAAACAGGAATTGGCAAAAGGCAGTCCTACCCCCAAATCAGGCCCACTGCTTGTTTTTGTACAGCCTTCAGAGTGGTTTTTACATTTTTAAATGGTTTTAAAAATGAATAGAATAATATATCATTGAAAAAGTGAAAATGACATGAACTTCCAACATCAGTGTCCATTAATAAAGTTTTATTGGAACACAGCCATGTGTTTGCCTAAGTATTATCTGAGACTTGGCTTTTGTGCTCTGACTGCAAAGCTCAGGAACTGGGACAGGCCTAGCGGCATTCTCATGGCTCTGCACCCCCTCCGTGCACTGAGGATTACAGTGACGTGCTCATAAACCGGCAGTGCTTTGGGTGCCACGTGGGTCGCCAGTACGTGTGAAAAGACACTTTCAAAGATGAAATGCATAAAATCTTATTGAAGATCAGCATTACCAGATAATATTATCACTCGCTTTTGATGAAAAGAAATGCTCATTTTAAACCCCAGTCAAGGAAATGCTAGCCTTGCCCCATAAAAGATTTCATTCTTCTTCTTAGTCAACCTGTATTATAAAAACTTGTATTCAATTATGATTGCATTTTGAATTTTACTCCCAAATTGAGGAACTATGTCTTCACTCTTGCTATAAAGTGGTTTCCCCTTTATCCACAGGGGATGAAGTTCTAAAACCCCAGTGGATGCCTGAAACTGGGGGTAGTAGCAGTCCTATATGTACCATGTTTTCCCTAAATACACATACCTATGATAAAGTTGAATTTGTAAATTGGGCACACTAAGGGATTAACAGCAATAACTAAGTAATAAAAGAGAACAATTATAGCAACATACTGAAATGAAAGTTCTTTAAATATGGTCCCTCTCTCTCTCAAGATATCTCACTCTACTGTCCTCATCCTTCTTCTTGGGACGACATGAGATGATAGAATGCCTACGTGATGAGATGAAGCGAGGCTGATGGCACAGTCATTGTGACTTAGTGTAAGGCAACTACTGGCCTTCTGACGGGATGTCAGGAAGGGCATCAGCTTCCAGACCGTGGTTGACGTGTGGATGACAGAAACCACAGGAAGGGAAACCACAGATAAGGAGGCGCTCCTGTGTAATTATCTACACTATATCCTTGATTTGCTTCCTGGCTGACAAAGACTGAAATATTTACTATCTGGTCCACAGAGAAAGTTTGTAGACTCTTACTCTATAATGGGAGTTTATGCCTCAGATATGCTTTAGGATTTACTGTGGTTTGTTTTCCCTACCATCTCATATGGTCTTTACCAGCTCATGAGGTGGTCAAAATAGATACCACTATCTTCGTTCTATGTCCAGATGTTCCAGGTTGAGAGGAGTTGACTGGTAAGTCCGCTTGAGCAGCCTTCTCAGTTTTAGAAATGCACACTGAATGATCAGAGTGATTCCTTGGGAGTAAAATCTTGTGATGCTCTGAAGATGGGGGCGGTGCCTGGTATTAGGACCCCGTCTTAGTGGAGGAGGTGGGTCGATACACCTGGGCAGCAAAGGGTCTTTGTGGGGGAAAGAATCAAGAACACACACCTGCTTCTGGAGATTCAGGGTCGACGAGACCTGTTACGGGGGGCCCACAGGGCTGCTGGAACTCCAGCATTTGGCTTGACTGGATGCGGCTGTTCATTGTGACCCAGGGTCATGGTTTAAACTGACCATGAAAGAAGATGAGACCAGAAAAAGAAGATGTAAAGAATTATGAAAGATCAGAAAGTGTCCTAAATGGTACAATTTAGGGTCTGGTGAAAGTCAATTTGGGGTACCTGGAGCCCAGGTGGGGCAGGGGAAACAAGCCAGTTTAACTTGACGAAGATGCTCTAGTTAATCCCAAAATAAGACCCCAGTTCCCTCTCCCTAAAGGGGGACAAAAGCACAAGACCCCCCACTTGGGGGAGAGTCCCATGGTTAAGCATGAGGCTCTGACTGTTCCCCAGATACAGGTGTATGAGGACAGGAAACCCAGACAGGTGCAATTAGGTAGTTGCAGGTAATTCTTCTTAACACAGGGCTCCACTTGATATTGATTCTGAAAACCTAGTGGATATTTTTTAATGCCCAGGGGATTTCTCCACCCAGGCTCCACCTCCAGACAGGCCTTAGGTGGGAAGCTCCTGTGAAGCAGCTCTTTTCCACGCTCATAACTGAGGAGCAGAAGGGAAGAACATGTCTACCATTGTCTGGCCAACATTGCCTCCGTTAGGAAGGAAGGGAATCTTTCTTCTTCACAACCTCAGCCCAAGGAACCCTGACCCTCCGGCCCCCTCCCAAAATGGGCTGAGAGCACATTAGGGAACGTCTACCCTCTCGACAAAGAATCGGGCTGAGGACAAGAGGCTTCACCTCTGATTAAAAAGAAATTCTATAGAAACAGTCAGAACTTGGGGCTTGTCTACGTTCAGCTGTAAGGCTGTGCTTGAGGCTATGTTCAATGCCTGGAGAAGCCCAAGTCGGGATGGGAAGCTGATGGTCTCTCTCTAAGAAGAATATTCTTCCCTCTTGCTTCTTTTATTCTTTTTCCTTTACATGGTTGCATTAAAATCTGTTTAGGGGATTTGACTTTATCCAGTGATTCCAAGGCTGTAGGCATTAAGGAACATCATTTCAGCTCGAGAAGAATCTTGGAGAGGAATACATCATTTGAAAATGAACATTCATAGAACCCAAAGAAAAATGTGTTTTCCGTTCTGAAAACAAAAAATTACTAAGTGTTGTTTGGTATGTTTGAGGAGTTTTAGTTGGGTTTTTGGGAGATTTTTCTTGACCTTTAATTTTGAATGAAATGGCTGGTAGTTGGTAGGGACTTGTAGCATAGGGTTCATTTATGGAAATGGCTATTTGATGGGTCATAAAACTAATTAAAAATAAACTTCTTTAAAAAGAAGAGATACTAACAATAACATTCAGGATGTGTGTGGCCAACTTTGCTTTATTATAGTATCACTCAAAATTACTCCTTCATGTGGAAAATATTTTTGCATCAAATAAATACAGGAAAACATAATTGATCTAGACAAACAAAACAGTCAAATTAGCACATGCTCACATTCTACGGGCCTCAAGTAAGTCAAGCTACAGAGCTGAAAAGAAATTTCATAATCTCCTCCTTTCATTTCTGTTTCCAGATTGTTTTTCACAGAATTTTCATATGTGGATGAAACTTAACATACTCGGCCATGACCTTGGAGATGATTAGGGATGTAACCAGGCGGTAGTGGCAATGGGAATGCAGAAAAAGAAAAACCCCCAAAACCTAAAGTGAGGCCCCTAAGCAGTTCAAGTAGATCTGTCTAGCTGCAATGGAGCTAAGCAAGTTCAGAGGCTGCATCTCAAACAGGGACGAAATTAGTATGTAAGCAGCACTTGAACCAGAATCCTTCTTATTTAATGAGAGTTATTTATAGAATCTGAAGAGCTCTAGAAAAAAATGCAGGTTATGAACATTTATTCTTTCACTCCATCAAATATTTATTAAGATCTTCTATACAGCAAGCATCAGTGTTGCGAGAACATGAGTTTCCTGGCCTCGTGGAGCCTGCCAGAAGCTCTCCCCAGATAGGGAAGGACAGCGGTTAGTAGGTAACAAACTACATTTGTCGCCAAATTGCGGTTTGACGCACTAAGCACAGATAGGCTCTCCTAGGAGACAGTGGTCCTCTCACGTGTTGATCATTGAAAATATTTTTACTTCAACCTGTTCCCACTATCACAAAGGGGTGAACCAATTTCTTTTTTGGGCATGAAAACCAGAAAGAGACAGAGTACTGATGCAAAGTAGGGTTTAGGTATTTCCTTAGGTGATTCTCAAATGGGGTCAGGGATAGAGTTTCTTCTGAAGTTTATTGTTCTTAGCAACGTTCCCCTTTTGTCAAGAGCTTGGTGTTTTAGAGATCTGGAAAACACACCTTTGTATCTTTTCCTTCTTGAACTTACTGAACGATATAGGTGGGAAGCAGAGATTATTCTCTATGCCCTGACTGTTCTCTGAAGCAGAATGAAAGAAAGCTCTCAAGAAAAATGACAGGTAGACAGAGAGAAGAGAAGGGAGATGAGCTTTGGGAGACCGTGGCGTAAACACAGGGAGGAACACAGGCAGCTGTAGACTCCGAAAGTCCAGAGGTTACAGTCTTCATAGGCGACTTGTTTCAGGGTCCACCACTCCCATCATCTCCTCACTGCAAACCTGCCATACTCCCTGGTTTTGTCCTGAAAAGGGGATTTCTGGGGATTTCCATTTGCTATGTAATGCTCCCAGTTCTTGAAAAATGACTAAGAAAGGTGGAAAGAAGTCACTGTGAGAAAATCCAAAAGGTGGGTGTGGGAGACAGGAATAGAAAAAAGCTCAAATGACTTGGACATTTCAGAATCAGAAGAGAGGAGGTTAGTTAGCAAAGTAAAATTTGAGAACAAATAAAAAATGTCTATTTCTCTTCTTTAAAAATACTATCTGTAATCCTGGGGTAAAAGTTCAATGGTAAAAGAGTAGAAATGGAACATAAGATGTTGTATTTTCTAGGTTTTGATTGTAAAGAAAACAATCAGACCCTCAGAACTCACGTGGTGATTACAGTAAAACCATTTAATTTTGTGCAATTTTTTTTTTCATCCCTGGATTCCCTAGTTCCCCACACAGTTTTATTTTTAAAGCCTTTGTAGAAGACAGAATGACCAGAGAAGAGCGGTTTTTTAAAAAGGGTTTGAAGTTTGTTTGCTTAACAAAGTGTTTGCAGTCATAATTAGGTTGGTTGCATATTAAAGCTCAAAACCGTCTCATGTTGGAAGTGACTGAAAATTGTTGCCATCTGATGGCTGTGTGGGCACAGCTCTCACAAATGACCTTGCACGCATGACGGAATAAAGACCCGGGTTCTGGGCACGTCCCTGGGAGACGGCGAGGGTCTGGGCCCACGCCCACCACTCACTTCCCATGGTGGCATCATGGGCCTTGCATCTAAGTGTTGTGATGCCGCGGCCTTGATCTGTTGAAGCCTTCCCCGTTGGATTCCAGCCATTGTGCTACCCTCGCCTCTTTAGAGTTCCCACTTCTTATCTCCAGTCGGCCTGTCTGTCTGTAGGATCAGAGAAGCCATGAGTTGTCGTTTCTGGGTGCAGTTCTGTAATTCTCACGATGGAAAATCCAATTCAAAGCCAGGTTTTCTGAGGGAAAAAGAGGAAGAGGAGAAAGATTCTGGTTAGGGTGTCTGGGATGAGTCAGCTCCTCATCTGTTGTGTTGAAAGGCAAAACTGTCTTTAATTTTAACAGGGCTCCACTTCCCTCTTACTGGCATATGAAGCCTATTTGGGAACAGAAAGAGAAGTTTTATATGGCAGATTTCAAACATCTTGCTTCGGGCAAGAACCTCATTGTTTCTGCGAGGGAAATCTCGTTCCTGGCTTCCACACCTGAGTCTTTTATTTCTACTCAGAAGCACATGAAACAATGGGAGCTTGTCTGTTCTGACAGTAAGCACGATGCAAGAATTAAGGTCTAATGAACCCCATGATGGGGCATAATTATGCGTGAGCTGGTATAGGTGGCCATGACTTTGGAGCCCCCATACGTACCGTGCTTGCTGAATGAGATCTCACGTGAAAGTTCGGTGTAAACCAGGAAACCCTTGCTTATACTGAATAAGAATGAGAATGGGTTTTTTCTTTCCTTTAAGTAGCCTCCATAGTGGAATCATGATTTAAGTTGGATCGACTTGAAGGTGAGTTTTGGTCGTCATCTCATTTGTCCCCATGAATACTGATGCTTGCTTGTTCTTTGGTATTTCTTTTGGGATATTCTGTCTGTTAGGAAATGCTTGCTAGCATAACCATACACGGCTTAATAAAATAAACAGACTGAAAGGTAGGGTCAGAATTTAGAAAAAAGCCAACATAATGGCAAAAGAAGCAACCAAGTCTTTGGTTTTGTGGCTCAAAACAGAGAACAACTCTAAACAAAATAAGAACCATACAGTATAGACTTGACTTCACATTGAGAAGAAATGTGTTTTACTGGAGGTAAGACCATAGGTACGGAGGGAGGCCAAAGCTAACAGCATTATTTTAAAGACCTTTCTAAAAGCTAATTTTGGAAGATTTATTTGAAACTGACCTCAAAACCAGGTGCTTTCAGCACGCCTTAATACACGAATCTTGTCCTTCTCCCTTCTTGCCCTCCAATAGCAACATTCATGGAACAGCCACAGATAGATGGCCGCCATCATGACGCTGTCTCTGTACGTGGCTCCCTATGATATGGATTGAAGTGCATCCCTTTAAGGCAGAGAATAGTTTCAGTTTGGACCAATGATACTACAGAATACACTAGTTTTGCAAAGTGAGCCATATTCATAACATCTAAAAATCACTGAGACCTGGTAGTACAGAAATAACACAGTCACAAGGAGAACTCCCACATCCAATATTTTGCTGAGATAATGTCCCTTAATTCAGTGAAGGTTTAAAATAACAAATGGGATTGGCCATCTTCTAAAGCAAACTTACCTACATTGCTTAATCAATTTGAAGCTTTTGAGAACCTATTGCCTTTTAATATACAGCTACACGACCCTCACTTAAAAAATAAGCCAAATTTTTATACAAGCCAAAGAAAAAATGCCTTGAAGATTTCAGAAGGAATGGTCTTTAGTGATATTCTGCCGGAGATTAATACATTAAAATGCCAGGCTTAGCAGAATGGTTGTAAGGAGGAATTGTTACTGGTGGGAACATGTGCTGGAGGTCCATGGGAAGTCTGCCTAGTGAAATCACAGATATGACTGGGCTGTTCACATGGAAGGACTGACAGAGGAGTGAGTTACCTGGCAGATGAGCCCAGGGAACACAGTGACCCAGCTCTTCAACACAGAATTAAAAAAGGAAAGTCTACCCCTTTGTTAAATTCCAGCCATGAATGACTACTCGAGTAATAAAGTGATTGATGGGATTAACCCAAGTGAAAAATCTATGGTAATGAGTTGATTGAATGAGCTGAACATTGTATGGGCCAAGCAGGAAACAGCAATGCACTTTCTCACACTGAAACCTAACTTTCGTATCCGTCCTTTTCTCCTTCCTCTAAACAGTATTTTTGGGAGATCCCTCTTAAGTTCAGGGCACTTCCAATCTGGGCTAATGTCCAGCCTGGCCAGGGCCTAACAGAGTTACACCAGTTACCCAGGACCGGCGTGCATTCTGATTGGTCAGTGCCCATCCTATTCTAGCTGGTGAACATACTAAATATCAACTCCACCTTCTGGTATTAATGACTAGTCATGGTTTCAGCAGTTAAAAACTTTGACTTTGTCTAATATCAAAACTCTGATTTCATAACGATTCAAAGCATTTTCTCCTGCGCATCGTGCGGGTCCAACAGTCTCAGAAGCCTGCAATGCAAGAAGTGGACGTGGCCTCCTGACCGGCTCTCCACGTGTCCACTACTCCCAGCCATGTTCTACTTCCGGCTCTGCCAGGCTAGAGACGAAGGAGAGGGAGGTGAGGGGGGGTAAAAAGGAAAAAAAAAAATATCTTACTTAGCTGTGCCGTTGTAATCTGGCAACGAGGTTCTCTGTGTAACGGGAGCCCGGTTACGCATCCTCTCTCTCAGGGGGTGCTGGCCTGGCTGCTCCTGTTGGTTCCCAGCCTCCTCCTACATCATTTTTAGGAGGAGAGGAGAGGAGGGTGAAGGCTCCTTCCCAGATCCCCTTGCAGGTAGGTTTCCAGATGCGACCTTGTTTCTGTGCGCTGGGTCTGCTCACCAGGAGATGTGGAAGTCGGGACTGACGTGGGGGCCTCTTCCTGAGGCTTTAGGCTATGGTTTCTGACAAACAAGAGAGTGGACACGCGGCCTTTCTGCAGCTGTGTTCCTGCGTCCGCCTCCACTTCCCTGTATACGGAGAAGTGGTGGCGGATGTGGCTTTCACGTCTAGCTCGAGTGGTGGCCTCGCAGGTGCAGCCCCCCTCACGGGTCAGTTCTGGAGCATTCCGTGAATCGCTCCAGGGGGCTTGCTCCTTCGGCTCCTCCTGAGATCGCGTGAGCTCCTGTGTGGACTGATTGCCGGTGCTCTGGTAGGTTCTAGATGCGTCTTCTTCCCTCCTCCCCAGAGGACCTCTGACGTGACCGTTCTTAGAGCAGGGGCTGCTCCTCTGGTGGACTGCTTACCATGCCAGCCCAGCTTCCACAGCTGCCAGGACACCCACACAGACCTTTTCTACTCTTTAGACTCTTCCGGGGAAGAATCAGACACCAGTCTCCACATTCCAGGAAATGTAGGCCAAGTTTCCCCAAGAACTCTGCAACCAAGCAGGCTCTGACCCGAATCTCTGCTGAGAGAGGATATGGGGAAGGGATGGGAGGTGCATGAGCAGCATAAGATGTCAATGTCCCCTCAGGCAAAACCCACACTGCTTGCAGACGGTTCTTGTAAAAGACCTCGTCACTTGTTCTGAACTGAGGGAAACACCACCCTTTCCTCCGACAGTGCCCTTCAAAGACAGCTGACCTCTCATCCTCTTCTGATCAGACTGAGGTCAGGTCCATTTCCTTGGCCAGCTCTGCAGAGATGGTTCAACCCCTCTCTTTAGAAGGAACAAGCGTTGTCACCTGTGACTCTCAGCTTTGGGACCTCAGCTGAAAGGAAATAACAGGAGGGGTCTCAGTTAGCATGTGGTCACACTCCTGTGGCTCTTTCCTCCAGCCTGGAGGCCAGTGCCCTGCTGGGGGGCTGTTGGGAGGTGGGAGGCGGTGGCCAGTCGGGCAGTCAGCAAGACAAGCATTGTCTGTGGTGGCCTTGAAGTAAAACCACCAACTTGGGACGTTGTAACCCAAACTCTCACTGTTCCGACAGTGCTTATTCTCCATGTGCATTCCCACTCCAAGTTTGACCTTTTAAAAAAATTATTTGCTGTATTTTTTCATGTTTATATGGTTGTTTTTCCCCCTAAAAAAAGCTAATAATAATATTGAAGATTTTAGCTTCTAGTCAGTCTGGTCAAGGGATCTTAAATTGTTCTATTCCTTCAAAAGCTAGTGTGGCTGCGTTTGAAAAACATCTCAAAGCAAAACAAACAAAAAATGCAACTCAGAAAGATTGGACTTCTAAAAGGAATAGAATACAACTAGTTCCCACGTGTGTGCCTCAGTTTCCTGAAGTATGAAGGAGTGGTTGGATTAGCCGACCAAATTTCCTTCCAGTTCTGACATCACATGATTCTCTTGGAGTCAACGGAGCCTACATGGCCACACATCAGCTACTCTAAGGAAGCATTGCTCAAAAATGGCAGATTGGCTAGAAAACAAATCAAAGTACCCAATTGATTCAAACATGTATGTCTACTGAAAAACCTGCATACCAATGTCTATCAGAGCTTTATTCATAAATGACAAAATTTGGAAGCAACCAAGGTTGCCCTTTAGTAGGGGAATGGACACATAAACTGGGTTCCATCCAGACAGTGGAATATTATCCAGCATTAAAAAGAAATGAGTTGTCAAGCCATGAAAAGACATGCAGGAATCTGAAATGCATATTACTGAGCGAAAGAAGCCAATCTGAAGAGGCCACATACTGTCTGATTCCAAATATATGACCTTCTGGAAGAGGCAAAACTATGACCAGTAAAAGATCAATGGTTGCCTGGGGTTAGGGGTTGGAATTCACAGAGGAGGGTTGGGTAGGCAGAGCACAGAGGATTTTCAGAGCAGTGAAACTATTCTGTCTGATGCTACAGTGGTGGGTGCGTGCCATTCTCCGTTTGTCACACCCATAGTTTCACCAAGCGTGAGCCATGCTGTAAGCTACGGGCTTGGGGCCATAACGTGTGGCTGTGCAGGTGCTTGACTGTAACAACTCTCCCCTGTGGTGCAGGGTATTGCTAGGGGGGAGGTTGTGTGTGGGGGGGGGGTCAGGGAGGATTACTTCGTGATCCAGTAGATTTGGTGATAACGGAGCTTTAGTCTCTGTCTGCAATTCTGCCAAATGTTCTTGATGCAGATTTAAGGGAAGACAAATGGGCTTTTTTAACAACTCCATTTTTGTCCATTTAAATGAGAATTCTGATCATGAAGAATAGGTTTTGGAATAGTAATCAATTCAAGAGTAATCAATATCCCACGTATTTTTGGAAGTGTACAGCATCGTGATGCCCTCTAGTGGCTAACCCACAAGAACGGTGCCTCAGAAGCCCCACAGAAAACGAGAAATTCTCTCTTTCTGCAGGTGAAATAGGGTCTCTGTTAAAGTATGTTGGTATCTTTGATTTCTAAGAGTTGGGTATGTATGTTCAGTTGCCACTGTACATCAAAGATTAAAACATGTCAAATTCATAATAATTATTAGGTGAGAAGTATTATAACCACTGAGTAAGGCCAGTGGGTAGATCTGGGGACAATTCCATTGGGTTTATTACCTCAGAGAAGAAGAATACACCCCTGAGGGATGGTGAGAAAATTCTCCTGGGATTGACTTCTGTGTCACTGTTAGTCCTTCTCCATCACTGAAATGACTGCCATGGAAGTGAATTGTGGTTTCTGAGCAGGTAGCAGCAATATTGACAAAAAGAAAAGAACAAATCAAAGACTCAATTGAAAAGAAATCAGAACCGTTGATCCTACTATTTGGTAGATGATTTGTAGAATCATTTTCTACATTCTTAAATTCCCAACAGTAGCCATTAGAGTGTATGTGTGTGGGGGTGGGTCTCATATATCATATACAAAAGATGTTTTATAAAACTGAATATTTAATAAAATTAGCCAAGGTCTTAAAATTGTTTTTCCTTCTAAGATTTAGATAGTTTTGAGTAATTGAAAACTTTAAAATGCTTACAAATAGGTGATCTGTACATTTTCCTTTATTCTATTGAAAGTAACCTCACTATCTGAAAACATTTGAAGCCATCTCTTCAATGATTTCTTCTGGATAACAAGTCACAAGCTTCATCATCTTATAGCCCTCACTGATAAATCTATACTTTCTCAGATAGATAAAGCTCCATGACAATAAATTCCTTTAAAAGAAAATATTCTTTATACTAAAGCTGTTTATGTGACCTGACGGACATTGGCCTGATAACAGTACTCTGGAAAGTAACTGGAGCATTTTCTCCATAATAAACTCAACAAATATTTTTATTAGTCTCCCTCCATGCGCCTGCTGGTCTGTATAATAAAGTTAACTGATTGTTGGCAGTTGGCACTGGGGAGAAAGACTGAGAAACTTATTGCAACATAGAATTTAACAGACCTTTTGTCCTGCCATTAAATAGTAAGAACTTTTCAACTTTCTTTTTCCTTTCCCACATCAAACATTCTGAGCAATCCCACAAGGAAATATAATAATAATAATAAAAAAAGTCATCCCAAAGAAGCAGCAAGCAAAACTGTGCACACACACCCCATGAAAGCATTTGGGGTTGGCATTAGGAAAAACAAAGTGCGAAAGCTGTCTGGAGGTGACTCTTCCCTTTCCCGTCAACTCTGTTTCCCTAATTTATAATTTATTCCTGGCATTGGTCCATAAGACTGTGAACATTATTTCCAGAAATATTTCTATTATCATAAAATTACCCTCTTGTGAAATGATGTGTCAGATTCACAGATTTGCGTAACAGAATTTTACCTGCCTTCCATGGAACCTGTTCTTTTCCCCGATTTCATCCCTGCTGGTTCGAAAGCTAATGTTTGCTGTTATCTGCAATTCTCCCTCTCACTCTCTAAAGGCAACCTAAATCCACCCGATCCTCTGTGTATTGAATCTAGAAATAAGTGGGCCCTGCATGCACTAGATTCAGATGATCTTACAATTACAGGAGTCTCAGAGAAACCTCCTTACCAGGTCACTCTGAGCCTACTTCAGACCACCTCTGCTCACTAGGTTGGTCTTGGTTATGACCCTGCCTTCCCAGGGTCCTCCAGGTGGCCAAGAGCCGAGGCCAGGCCAGAGCTCCTGGGAGCCTTCAAGGGAGGAATTAATTAATCTGGCTGGCGATTAATCCTAACCAGCAATAGTAAGTTTCTTCAAATTTTGCAACTGTGGCCTGGGGGGCTCATAGGAATGACGGGGTAGGGAACATTTTTTCCTTTTTCTTCCTGAAAAGGGAAATACAAATATATGCAAAATATTCTGAGTTGTCTTTACCAAATGCATTTTTTTAAAGGAAAACACACACACACACAACTAATGGGAATGGTGTAACTTACACACACAAACTAATTTTCTAATTATACTGACTTTTGAGAGTCTATAGTTTTGCTTATGATGGAATTACAATGAGTCACATTTTAAGGTATCTAAAATGATTATGTGTTTTGCTTGTTAAGGAGAACCAAAGAATAGAAGCTACCACCCATAAGAATAAAATAATGAAGCAATATTCTGATTTTAATGTCCGCATAGTGTCAAACGATATTTATGGAAAAGACTTAAAAAAATAAAAGGTGGTAGAAATAGACATTCAGCATGTTTGCTGAGTATCTGTTTTGTGTCCTGAGTTTTTTGAATAAACAACGTTAAAATTTCCTTACTTATTATTTTCACTTTGAACATGTCAGCTTTTATTTACTTTTATTTACCTCGCTTTTCAATATTATCAGATCGGAAACTTTTTTCAATATTTACTAAGTGCTTATATTTCTTCTTTTTGTCAATTGCTAGAATAAACCCTTTGTGAGAGTTCTTTTTAGTTATTTCATTTTCTCATTGATTTATAAGATTTCCATATGTTAAATCTTTTAACCTTTGTCATTTCCTCTGAAAATATTTT